ATCCCCCCGCCCCCCACCCCACCCTCACCCACCTCCCCCTCCCCAGAGTCGACAGAGCTGGATGAGCAAGAGGGAGAAACTGGGGAAAGGAGGGAAAGAGGACGTGGGGAGGGTGGGTTCCACGGGTCATATTCTTCCTTTATAAGATTTTTTTAAGGGGGGTATTTTTAGGACAAATGAGGAGGGGTGCTTAATTTTAAAAGATGAGCAGAATAAGCTGATTGGAAAGATCGTGAATTCACAAACATACAAGGAGAAAATGGGACGGACTCCCTCCTTCCTATCTCCCTCATTTCTTCCCAAAGAAAGCTGGAGGGATACCCACTAAGGGTCCAGTCCCTTCACCCATTGGCGGGGTCCAAGGGAACGTCTCCCCCCCCCAACTCTGCACATGCATACATCCAAAAAAGTTCACTGCTCACTCAAAGTCCAGAAATTAGAGGCCAAAGGTTTGGTCCTCCTCCATCCCACCACTGCCCAACCCAAACCCGACCAACTCCTTGATCTAGATCTGTTCCTCTCAGTTACAGCCCTCGAAGAAGACTCCTAAAGGTATCCGATATGCCCTAGAATCATATAATTGGGAGGTGTTGAGGGGAATGGGGAAGAAGCTAGAGAGTACCCCAATAATTCGAGCGAGGCCTTCTATCGCTACCCCTTCTTCTCTAACCCCCCACCCCCACGCTGAATTCTTCCATATCATCACTTGACGTAAAGCGTCTCTTATCCCGAAGCCGAGGACCTTCCGCTTCCCTAAATCTCATTCTCATCTTTTTATTTCTACTTTTTTAAAGACTCCCCTCTCACGCATAAAGCCCGACTTGTCCATTTCCTTCCTTCCTTCCCATTCCAGTCCTGGAGATTCGAAGGACTTGGCACGGAGTCTCACCCATTCATCCATTTATTGCCTCTATCACTAAAAATTTTTTGGCCTTCGCTGTTTAAGAGAAAGCCTAAGATAAGCAAGGCCTAGCTCAGCTCTTGGAAAATATTATCTCTTTTTCGCCTTGATTCGAGTCACTTATTGCAAAGTGAATTCACAACGCTATTTCCCTATTTAAAGAAAAGCGGAGAGAGTACTCTTTAATCTCTCATTACCCTACGTAAACGGCATCTTCCCCTCTTGGGGAACGGGGAAATTTTTTTCTTCCCTATTTTTCCTGGCTTTGGATACTTTGGGCAACCTTCCCTTTAGGTTCACCCTGATCTCCCCTTATCTCTTCAATAGAGAGAGGGTTCCTGTTGCTCCCCAAGCTCAGGGGGGTGGTTGCCTCCCCAAACTCCTTTTCTAGTAGGCGACCAGCCCTCTCAGCCGGATGCGGTACCTTGTTCGCTTTACAAACCCACCCATAAATTTTATAACAGGTAGTTAAAAGTTACGAGGAGGAAGCGGCCAGCCCAGCTTCTCACAATAGACAGAGCGAAGAATGGGGGAGCAATGCCTGGAGCTCACCGGAAATTTCGCTCCTCAGTCCAGGGCACAACCTGTCCCTTTGCCTCTCTCTTTTGGGGGATGGGGGTGGAGAAGAACCTGTCCCAGACCGGCAAAAACTAGGCGCTTGAAAATCCCTAAGATGGTTATCTGAGGGAGAGCCACAGACCAGGAGAATTCCAGTCCCATTGGGGCAAATGTGAAAATCGACCCCAGAGATCGAAATCCTACAGTTATTTATCCCCATCGTTCTCCCCTCCCCCCCCCCCCCCCCCCTCATCCCCCCCGCCTCACCCCCTTCTCACCCACCCCACCAGACACACATATACACATTCACTCGCCACGCAATTTTCTCCCTGAGTGGGGTGAGAGAGGCAGAGAAATCAGGGGAGAGTTTTCTAAAAAATCAAGAGAAACGAATTCCCCCCCCAGCTTAATAGCTGCATTATCCTGTCTCGGCAGCGGAGATTAGAATAATAAATTCAGGGCGAAATGAACAAGATGCTACAACTCAGCATTTTGAAAGATACTATTTTTCACAAATCACAAATAGCTCTCCGAAGCAAATTTGATTGGCTAATAAAAAAGTAAAGGATGAGGGAGAGCCCTTTCTCCAGGCGGCGGAATGGTCCCCATTCCGGTAATACAACGGCAATGAGTGTTTGGGAGACGGCGCTCTAAAGACAGCGAGCGCACTGCGCTCCCAATTACTTTCCCCCCATAAAACTGGATCCGATTCCTCTTCGCTCTCTACAAGAAAGTGGGGGGAGGTGGGTGGGAGGGGGACTGAAGAGAGATATTCTTCTGGTTGCCGACTGAGAGCTGATGCTTCATTCCCAGGGGGCCCCCGGAAAAGATGCAGTGAACCAGGCACCCTAGGGTTCCTCTGCCTGTCCAAGGCACTCTCCAAGAGTCTGTGACTGGGCCGACGCGATAACCGTAGAGTGGGTTGGAAAAGAAAAAGTCGTTCCTAAAGGCCACGTGAGCGAGGGCCGAGGCTATTTAATGCGGGTTTTTTTTTTTCTTGACTTCGTTGTGGGTGCTTAACATTTTAAATCATCCTTAACATTAAAAATAAATAAATAAAATTTACCAAATACCTTGCCTCTCCCCCTAGCCTTCTGGAAAGGACACCCGACTTTGGAGAAGGATTCCAGAGAAGGTTAGAGAAAAGGACCTTTTTCTAACCTTTGAGAGACGCACCCGAAAGCACAAGAAACTGATTACCTGGCTCGGTGCGGGTATGGGCTCCGAGAGAGGAAGGAGGGCAGTAATGAGATTTTCGAGAGATGTGAGATTTGGGATAATAATGCTCTACTCACTCCCACTTCCCATAACCAAGAACTACCCCCCTCATTTCCAATCGCCCAGATCTTAGTGCTAACAACACCGTCACTAATAAAAAAAAAAAAAAGGCAAACAAAAACAATAACAACAATAACAAAACCCTTTGAATACGAATCCAAAAACCCTCAAGTGATTAAAGCGCTTTGCGCACCAAACCAGAGACGAGGGAGGGTCCTTGACAGAAAATTGTGCGGAGAAATTTGCCCCAAGCCTACATAGAGGAAAATGATTCACTAATCTGGGAGAGAGAGAGAGAGAGAGAGAGAGAGGGAGGGAGGGAGGGAGGGAGGGAGGAAGGAAGGAAGGAAGGAAGGAAGGAAGGAAGGAAGGAAGGAAGGAAGGAAGGAAGGAAGGAAGGAAAGAAGGAAGAAGAGGAGAGAAGTTGGAAAGGAGGGAGAGGAAAAGAGGAGGGAGGTAAAAGAGGAAAAACAAAGAGAAAACCATTCCAAGACTTGGAAATATTTCAGTGTTTAGGGTCTGGTTTCTAAATCCAGAAGGGTCTAGTCTCCCTCGCCCCTAAGTACCAGCTGAGTCAGACTAGTTGTATCTCTGGAATTTGGGATTGTTTGACCAGAAGTCTATAGTTATAAACAGAAATTTCAGCCCAAGACCCTTGACTGTCCCCCCTCCCTTTGCTTCTTTTTCTTGACTTGCTTCTGTCTCCCCTTTATCTTCAGGAAATTGAAGAGGGGCAGAAAATTTGCCCCAAATTCCATGGAGTCAGCTTAGGACTGGGACTAAAAGCTCATGACAGACAGTTGGGTACAGAGTTAGACTTTCCCCTCAAGGTTAGATCTTCAAGGAACTGGCATTAAAGTGGGGGCATGGTTTGGCTGCCCAATTGCCAAGGTGAAGCCATAGAAGGGGTCAACAACTCCACAAATTATGTGACTTATCCCTGCTCACCATCACTTATCCTATCTTGCCTTCGACTTTCACCAACCTTCAACTCAGACAATTCTCCCCCTCTTCCACTCTGATACCCCCCACCCCCTACCCCCCTTATAGAATCAGGATTGCTTCTGCCCCAAAGCTCTTTCTAAAAAAAAAAAATCAAACCACACAGAAAGTATCCTTTATCCCCACAGATACCAGAGAGTTATATCCAAGAGAATCTGGGGAGGGAGGTTATGGGAAGAGGTGTTCTAGAAGGGTTCTCAAAAAAACCATTTCCCTCCTGCCCCTCTTCCCCCTGATAATTTACCCTCAGCCCACTTAGGAAAGTGAGGGAAAAAAATCAGACAAGTACATGAGAGACTTTTTGTCTGGCTTGGGAAGAGAGAGGAAAGATGGAAGCTAAAGAGTGGTTGAGATGTGGAATCTGGGACAAGGCCTGAGGAAAGAGCTTCTCCTAACTCGGGCAATGAATCATCACCTATTTCCAAGGAAGATACACTAGATTGACTTATCCACCCCCCATGTGTAGGGTCCCCTTATCCCACACTGAACCCTCTTTCACTTGCCTTCTTCAGATTCACCTGAGAGCCCTGTCTCCCAGTTCTGAAGACCTGCTTGATTTGACATCCTTATTCCCACCATAAGCCATACCCATGAAGAACTTCCAGAAAACACCCCTCCCCCAGCTGTCTCAAGAGAGAAGAGAAATTGCAGAGGATGGAGAGAAGAGAGAATATGAGAGAGGGGACAGAGAATTGAAGGAAACTCATTCTGGGCTCCAAATCTTTGCTTTTCTTCTTTGTTTGTTTTTGTTTTTATTATGATTCACGTATACAATACAAAGTACTTGGACCAGAAACAGGGCTGTGGCCACACAAAACCTACATTCATAGCTCGACATAAAGACGAATGACCAGAAATTATTATTATAGATATCATTTTTTTATCTTTTTTTTCCTTTTCTTTCGAGCACGTTGCATAAACAGATAGTTCAAGACAGTTAACTATACATTCAGTGCAATTTAGTTCCTACTCTACTGGGTATCAAAGCACAATAAAGGAACACACAGTACTGGTGAGCTAGGCAGTTTTAGTTGTTGGGCACCTTCTTCATGAAATAAGCAGCGACAAACGACAACAAAACCGCAATACGAATACTCTCAAAGCAGGGCTTCCTTCTATAGGTAGTGATACAATACGCTGGAGGCTTATAACGGTTTTTTTTTCTTTTTTCTTTTTCCCCTTTTTTTCCCCCTCCCTCCTGGGATGGGGATTTTTTCTTTTTTTTCTTTTTTTTTCTTCAAGATTATTGCAGGTTCCCTTTAGGTAGTACATTAAAGATTTATTATTATCATTATTATCATCATACTTATTATTATTTCAGAGAGCTAACACATATAGGGACTGGGGAAGCTGGACACAGAGCTGCTGCCTCTTTGGACAACAGAAACCACAGAGCACTGGCTGGGGACTGACCGTGTCCTGACTGGAAGGAACTCTTTAGAGGGAGGCTACATACTGATCTCTGCTTCTTAGGGGTGTGGGGCAGCAGAAAGTCAGGTCTCCCTAAGGTTCCAGGGAAAGCCAAGGGAGTCACTCTAAGTAAGGATCTTCCCCCTCCCCCAAAAGGAACAATGAATTAGAGGGGGAAATCCAATAATATAACATAGCACAGAAGAAAAAGCAAGGAATTCCCTCTCCTTCCCCTCAACTCTTTCAGAGCCTGGGGGAAGTGCTCCCCTACAAAAATAAACACCAAAGAGACAGTGAGGTGGGACTGTAGTTTATATCCAAAGGGAGAGCAAAGAAGGAGAGGGCAGATCTGAGATACCAGGAGAGGAGAGAGGCTGGAGTAGCGTGTGTTTGCGTGTGTTTGCGTGTGTGTGTGTGTGTGTGTGTGTGTGTGTGTGTGTGTGTAGGGGTGGTGGGGAGCTTGTTGAGACAGGAGCCAGAACTTTTCTACGTGTCTAGATTCCTCCTCCCGCCTCCACCCAGCACCATCCCAGAACCCTCATCTCCCCTCCCCAGCCCCAAAAAATATAAAGCTAGGGGGAAGTTCAATGATCGTAAAACCAGAGTTACAAGTATTTGACAGGTAGTTACAGTTGTGAGTCTCATTCTATTCTCTATAAAAGCGAATGACAGTCGTAAACTTCTCAATTTATCCTCTACCATAAAACGAAACTTCAAGGGAGTTGCTAAAAGAAAAAAAAATCTTTTCCCCCTTTCAGTCCTTGTTCTCTTCTTTTTCTTCCTCTTCTTTCTCCTCTTCCTCGTTCCCTTCTTCTTCTGTTTTCTCCTCATCTCGGGCTCCAGGAAGTTTATCCTTGTTGTTCTCCTTTTTCCACTTCATCCTGCGGTTCTGGAACCAAATCTTCACTTGTCTTTCAGTCAGTCCCAGGGCGTGAGAGACCTCAATTCGTCGCTTTCGTGTCAAATATGGATTAAAGAGAAACTCCTTTTCTAGTTCCAAGGTCTGATACCGGCTGTAAGTTTGTCGTCCGCTGCGCCGCCCAGGAGCTGAACAGAACAAAACCCCAAACCTGTTATTCTAGGAGTCGGGAGGGAGGGGGATGGGTGTCTCTTTCCCATTGCTCTCAAAAGGTTCCCCCTCTTATCCTCCCAGCTGCTCTCCCTCTACTTGAAAAGGAAATGGGAAAAAGCAGCTAGGAAGAAGGAAAGTTTGGGGTTTTGTTTTGTTTTGGTCTCGTTTGGTTTGACTTCCTTTTTACTTGGAAGGCGGAGACGGAGGTGGGGAGTAGGGCCAGGGGCGCCGAGTATTTCATAACTGGGGCTTTTGAGAGAAAGGGGGACTGGCAAGTTTCTCTCCACCACAGCCACTACCTCCAAGCTGTCTCTCTCTATGACCTCCGAAGCTTTGTTGTTCTATGTTAGCTTTTGGAGGGGAGGACTGGGGAGATAATGATCCCCAAAAGAAAGGAAGCCAGAGGGCTAAAGTGAGATGGCGAGGTTTGTGTATTATCCTCCCCACCTCCTTCCTCTTTCTACCTAATGCTTTTCCAATAAGAAAAATAATTGACCTACTAAAATGTATTATGGCTCAAAATTACTGCTAACTGGAGACCAGCACATCAGTCACAGCCTCTCCCTGTCAATAACTTTTCTATCTCTCTTTTCCCCTTTTGCTTCGAAATGGGATAATGAGACTCACCCCTGCTTAAAACTAAAATCTTGAAATAACTTTGAGGGTCATTCTGGAGCTATTCCTTGTTGGAGAGAGTGTACAGTGCTTCTCACCATTGGGGGTGGGCGTTCAGGACAAATACAGTGAAACAGGAGCTGGACAGATTCCCTGCTTGTGTGTTTGGTGGGATGGAGACATCCCCCTAAGGTGAAATTTTTATTTGGGCACCCCTTTCTCCATTCTTCTTATGCCAATTGTATTAAGTTGAACAAAGTTTAGAGAAGTCGCCTTTGTAGACCCTTTTGAGAGGGGGAGAAGGGGAACTCAGTAAGTCAAAATCCTGACCATTGGGATCTCCCTTGCTCTTCTGGGCTGGAGGTGGGGGGCGGTGTTGGAAGAATACTTCCCTTCACCTCCTTCCTCAGACAACACTGTTGGTCTCCCTGTCTTTCCGGTCCTGAATTGGGCCCAAAGCGGTATAGAGAGCTAGAGCTTCTCTGAATGCTAATAACCTCCTGGGAGTTTAGTCCCTTTACACTCTGCCCTAAAACCAACTTTTATTTTATAGATTGGTGGTGGTGGTGGGGAGGAATTTTTAACCCTTTTCACCCAGACACCACCTCCTCCACTCCTCCCTCTTCCATCGTCGCCAAACCCTCCCAGCAAACCCCCTCTGCTCCCAGGCCCAGCGAGAAGCAACGAACACCCACCCAAACAAATGGGGCGGGGTAGGGGGGAGGGAAAGGGGTTTACAGGAAGACCCAAAACCGGGAGAAAAAAAGGAGTGTGAAAAAAAAGAAAGGGGGGGGGGGGGGTGGAGAGACCCAGAAAGAAACAGAGATAGACGGAGAAAGGGACAGAGAGGGAAAGAGAAAAGACTTCTCACCGTGGGGTCTCATCCATGGAAACATGAGACTGGGAGACGAGTTTTGATTTAGGTGCCCTTGTCCTTCGTTACTGTTACTGTTGGCGGAGGATTTACAGTCGGGATATTGCACGACGCTCGCCTCTTGCTGAGCCCCATAAAGAGGCTGTCTGGGGAGCGCCTCGTAGCCATAGAATTTGGAGGCGTCTCCGTGGCAGCTGAGGGAACACGGGTTCTGCTGGTAGCCAGAGTTGGAGATGCTCGAAGTCCCGTGGTGGAAGAAGTCTTGGACGTGGTGAGAGGCGTGCTGAAAGCTGGGCGCCGTGCTGCCCGGGCCGTATACTAAGGCATGGCTCCTACCCACACTTTGAGGGAACCGGCAGTCGTAATACGCCGGCTCCAAGGACTCACCGCCTTTGTATTTGGAGAACAGGGGGTTGACAAAGTAGGAGCTCATGCTGGGAGCATGAAAACCCCACGGCCCCCTCTCCTATGGCTCCTGACACCCCCGCCAGATACCCCGAATCACCGCCCCCGCAGATGCAAACCCCAGGCTGACTGGCTCTCCTGGGCTGGGCTAGGCTGGGTTGAGGATTAGGGGAGGATTGGGGGCGCGCCTAGGTGCCTGTCTCTGTCTGCCTCTGCCCTCTTTCAGGGCAGCTCCATAGGCTAAGGGGGCGAGCAAGGCGACGAGCTAGGCTGGCTGGCTGCTGCCGGCGTCTCTCCTTACTGTCGGTAGGTAGAGCTCTCGCTCTCTCTCACTTCGCTCTTTCCTTTAACAGCCCAGGCGAATTCCTCAGACTCCCGGCGGTGGCGGCGCTTACACGCGATTCGCGTTCATCAATCCACGACATGAAGACAGGCGAGAGAGAGAGAGAGAGAGAGAGAGAGAGAGAGAGAGAGAGAGAGAGAGAGAGAGAGC